AATCGCTTAAGAATCTGGAGCATTTAATGTCTTTGAAGCTAATTTACATATACAAACAAGGGATGTGATCAAGTGTAAATAGACGAATCTAGCATTTGTATTGGCTTCTTCGAATTCAGAAGTGAAGACAGTCCTCTAATATCAAGAGACATATGTGAGATCTATATCTGTTGAGAATTCTTCTTTTGGTCGTTAATGAACTCACTGAACCATAATAAGAAAAATAATATAACATCCATTAAGCTTATACTTAAGAGTGAAACTATTTTTTTACGAGATCTGAAATTTTTTTCACTTTGTTAAAGAAAATAATTTAGCATACAAGAAACCACATCTGAAGACTTTGGTCAAACAAAAAAAAGAACCACTATCTTGTCTACAATTTGAATGTGAAAAGATGAGACGGCTAATATGTCGCACAATATTTTTGATAGTAGAAAAATCAGTCGCCAAGCCTAAACTTAATAATAAAATTGGGCCCATAAAAAATCAGAAAGGGAGGCCCTGTAATAAATAGGCCCGTTCAAACTGAAGAAAATAATGAATTTATCCCACATCGGTTATTTAGCTAGAAGCAGCAACGTTTATATAACGTTAGAGTCGCTAAGCAGATTGTCCCTTCGGGGACATCCGATAAAATTGGAACGATACAGAGAAGATTAGCATGGCCCCTGCGCAAGGATGACACGCACAAATCGAGATATGGTCCAAATTTTTTTATGAAAATTTTCCAGATCGATTTCTTCTTCTGGGTTTCGAATCTTCGTTTTCTTGCTTCATTTTTTTGAACCATTACCGAAATTCTTGTCCAGTCTGCGCGAAGTAGACTCCAAGCTTCTGAAACCCTTTAACTTTTCATGAAAAGCTCGGTTTTGTTTTGTTTAAGAGATTTTGCATTATCAGTTAATTAATCTGACTTGGTCGAAATATTTAATTAAGCAGGTCTAATCTGTTCGTTGGTGCATATCCGGTGATCGGAAAGTTGCTTCTAGTTCTTGTTTACAGATTTCGGCGTTCTTTGTGCGTTATGTTATTCAGTACGAATCATAGTGAGCAATATTCCGGTTAGGTTATCGGTATCGGTTTGGATAAACCGTAAAATCTGAATGATGGCGCTATTGTCTCTAGTTGCGCTAGAAGGTTTGGAGAAAGACCATATGGGATATTGTTGTTATATGCAAGAAGAAATTTCAAAATCTGTCTTAAAATCAAGTTTACGAGCTTTGTAATGACACGGTTAAGATAAAAAAAATTATCATGGGATTGCTCACTGCATTTCACAAAACTCATTAATACTTTCTACAAAGATAGAAATTATCAGACCTATGACCGACCCATCAATTCATAACAAGTTTCAAACTTTGTTGGAAACACTTGATTCCTTTATAATATATACTTAAAATGTTACATACAAATATTCCAATGTTTCCGCTAAACGAAATGAATTACAGGTCAACTGCAAATGCACTACTACAAGAAACAAAGAATCATTCAAAAGCTAAACTCACAAGCTAGAGAGAGAGAGAGTGTTGATTCAAGACCCAACATCGGTTCGAACACCAGAACTGTTGAGTCGGAAGTCATGTGACCGAGCCAGCTCAACTGCGTCCTGAACCCTAAGCCTGGTTCCTTGTTGACCCACCACAGTGGCTGCAATCGTAGCAGCCAAATCTCCCATTCCCTTCAAGTCAGTGACACCTCTCAAGATGCCGTATAAGATCCCTGAAGCGTATGCATCTCCAGCACCACACGTGTCAACTGGCACACACGGGGACGGAGGAATATATATGGCCTCTCCTTTTACTCCAATGTATGACCCGTTGATTCCATCGGTCACCGAAACAAACGGAACAAAGTGGCTCAAGTACCTTGTTGCTGATATTGGGCTTTCCTCTGCCGAAAAGTGACAAAACGCTCTTGCTTCATCGCTGTTCGCAAATATAATATCCGCATAGTTGCCCACAATGTCCCTGACTCAAACATAAAACAAATGAATATTTCTACTCCATTTTTGCCTTCCTTTTGTCTCCCAATAAACAAACAGATAGATAGAGACAGCGAGAATAGCTACAAGTTTAACATAACTTTGGAGCTTAAACAACAACAACTTCACCATCTAGATTTAGTTTTGACTTTTGATGCTTCAGGTTAAGACATTAGCAGCAACCTGAAGCATCAAAGCTTCTTTGACCAACCAAGCTAAAAAAGCTAATCACTCTCTTCTTAGAATCACCAGACTAAAAATCAAATAGATGCAAATGGATTGAAGCAAAAGGAGCAAAAAACTCACCAGAAATCATCATAATGCCTCTCTATGCAAGACACATCTGATGCCGTCACAGCAACAAGAGCTCCATTTCTGTGGGCTTCTTCACAGGCTTTTGTTATGGTCCTGATAGTATCAGGAAGCTCAAACAAATAGCCTTCCACAACAAAGACATTTGTCTTTGATATCAAACTAGCCAAACAAGAATCATAATTAACGACAGAAGATGTTCCCTGAAAGATACATAAAACGAAATAGGGTTTTGTTATTTACTAGTTGCAGTCAAACTAAAAAAAAAAAAAAAAATTCTGAAATAACCATTTCTACCACTTGCATCAGCAAATTAGGCTCATCTCAAATTGGTCGTTTCACGCAGGAAATATATCCTAACACTAAACTCATGAGAAATTCTTGCACATCACCTACTTCAAAAGTTAAACTTTGATCCTTAGATTTTAATTATTAATCAATAACCACTGCAACAAGATAGTTCAAACTGTGCTTTTTTATTAAAAAAAATCTCGAGCACGCGATGTGCCATATCACATACTGTATATAATTAGAGAGAAAAATGTCTCCAACCCCAAGCATACCTCTTCCAAATATGAAGAGGAATAGAATGAATAAGAAAAGTATGTTCTTGTTATCTCTATTTTAGCATGACTGGGATACTCAACATGTTGCAACAGCATTTAAATCGGAAATCCTACCTGATATGCAAGCATAGTACGTTGTGCATCAGGAGTTGTGAGAACTATCACTGTTCCAGTTGTTCCATCCTTGATTGGAGCAGAAAGAAAATTTACATTTGCTCGCCGTAGTTTAGTCCTACAGAACATAAGATGGACTGCCCTTGTGAGTAAATCAAACCAAACCATGTAGAAACTAGAAAGAAGAATCATGAAAACTAAATAAAGACACAATTTCAACAAATAAACTCTAGCTCATTTAATGATAGACATATATCAAACCACATATCCGTTTTCAAAAACGACCAAAACGTGAAATTGATCGTCATTTATCTGGCATAGGAACCTTTCTCTAACATAAATGACGAGACGAACTACTAAGTATATATAAAGAGCGAAGGTGATTATTAGTAAAGACAGTTTTGTACCTGTAAAAGCTACCGAGAGGATCACCTGCAATACTTCCTGCCATAGCCACATTCAAAGGCCGGTCACTGATGGATCGACAACCTAATCTTGCCAGAGCAACTAGAGTATTCGACAATGACCCTCCAGCTGCCGCCTTATAGCTGCAACCATCCATTGCTTGTAATACTTTACCTCTCTCCTCGTGATTTATCAGTTTCCTCGTTCCCTTTTCTAAGTCTAGTTTCTTTAGAAACCCATCATCCACAACTCCAGAGAAATCTACCTAAAACACAACAGACACCTTCAGGTAAGGAGGTACAAACTCATTCCAATATAAGAAAGACAATGGCAGAATGGTTCCATTGAGTATGAGGAGATGGTATGAGATTGGAAAAGACAAAGACAAAGTTTTGAACCACAAGTTTTTCCATTTGGCTTCAGGGATTAGAAGAAGAACACAGAGCTACTCATCTATACAAAGTATTGTGCTTCAATGATTCAATGTACTCACCATGGCTTGGCCGAGACCCAAAACATCCCATCTCTCAGGGGAAGAAGAGGAAACATGATGGCCTTCAATCAATTCATCGTCATCTTCGTCTTGCTCTCCAATTCTCTCGATTTCGCCTTCATCCAGATCATCCAAACCTCCATCGCCACCGTTCCTAGAAACCTTGAGACCCAATTGCCTCTTTTCCGCCATGGAATCAATCCTCAAGTTTCCCGAGCCTCTGAAACCGCCGAAAATCGAGGTCGCGGTTCTGCTGCTTCCAAGGGTGCCTTTGGGTTGATATAAAGAGTAAAGAGGAGAGAGAGAGGAGGAGGAGGCATTGTTAGCAGCGGAATAGGCGGAGAGAGTGAAGGAAGAAAGATGAGAGATGAGAGAAAGGGCCATGGATATTTAAAGAGTAAAGCGTTTTCTCTTTCGTCTTTTAGGGATAAAATGAAGAAGAAGAAGAAGCTCACATCTCCATCCAAAGCGAGAGAGGATGAAGGAAGACCAGAGAAATATGGTTTCCGCAACCTCAGAGACGGCTGAGAGGATAAAATGACTTTCTACGCTTCTTTTTATATAAAACAATAATTAACTACTCTAATCGTATTAAGGATTAGTATTTAGTATCATGGGAAATTAAGAATTAATCGCTCTATTTTTATAATCTCTCATTGACTATTCAAACCAATTTTTCAGCATGAGCATGCCGACAATTTATATAAATCTTATTTTTGGCACTCTGTTTTTAACAATTCTCTCTTGTCTCGGATTTAACAAAAACTAGGAACTTTGCTATATATTGAAAAGGTGTTCGAAGGGTACAAGTGGTTATAAAGTTCAAGTCTTTTGATATATCCCAACATTTGTTTGTCAAACTTGGCGCCATGTGTTTAGCATTTGACACTAACAATTTGCTAATCCTTCCAAAAGTTGAATTTTTTCTCATTACATCTTTTGTACCACCCATAGTTATGTCTCCTTATCTAATCCGGTTAGTTACCATTAATGGAGAAGAAAACAAGGTAAAGAAGCAGCAAACTAGTCCCGCGGCAAAACAACTACTTTTCTTTACACCAAACATCAAAAGAGAGATAAGACACAGAGAACAGAAATCAAGACATTCGAAAACCAAGGCTGAAGCTAGAAAAGAACCTGAAAATCTCCATCTCCAGAGTTGAGAGACTCCAAAGATCTTAGGACATAGATCCATTTTCTCGAAAAAGGAGAAGAATCCGAAGATAACAAGACCAAAAAAGAAGAGAAGCAAGAATGCACAATGCCCTAACTCTTAACCCTACAATAATATGTTTGGCAGCTGTGAATCCAATCTCTGCTGCAACTCTTTGATCTTCTGTGAAAGCTCAATCTTCTGCTCTTTATAGCTCCTAAGTAGATACTCCTTTCCATCTATCACCTCTTTAAGCTCACTCACTTCCTTTCTCAACATCTCTACTCTTTCTCCGTCCTTTACTCCCTTCTCCGGGGACTCATAGGTGCTTTCGCTGTCTATGAACCCGTTCACATGGCCACTCCAAGGTGCAACAGGAGATGTCTTGCCATTGCTACCTGCGCATCCCACACTATGATCAGCGATCGCTTTTCTTAGTCTCTGGACTTCCCTTTCTGATTCAAACAGATCTCTGTTCATTGCGTCTAGCTGTGCCTGGAGATGGCTAGAGTGTGAAATCTGCGCGTTGTACGAGTTTTGCAGCTCTAGAATCTGTTCCTGCATTTCCACTATCATGTCGTCTCGTCTCTTCAGCTGTTGCCTCAGTTTCTGTATTACTTCTCGCTTGCTGAAGATGTCTGAGCTGGTTTCAGATACGCAAGGAGAATCTGAGCAGGTCGATTGGTGATTGTATGGTTTCGGGGGCAATTCCAGGCGATCAGGAGAAGATGTCCACATGACTCCATTCTCTTTGCTATACGATGGAACAGTAACCGTCACAAGAGGCAGTGAAGTGTCAGGTGCGGATACCATTTGCTGGCCTATCACCTCTTTTCCCTCCACATTCTCAGTTCCTGTATTAAAAAAAAAATTAAAAAAAAGCAAAATCTGATGAGATCCACACAAGACTGACTGTTCTGGACGACATGGATAGAGGAAGAAGATTCAGAGATTTTTCAAAGAGAAGTAAAGCTCATATCTGGATGTAAAAGTACAAATCTTGTAACTATGGTTCAACCAGTTCTTGGAAGAAATCTTGCAACTATTTTAAGCATTCAGACACTAGACACAGCTATCACTGCATTCCTAGTTGCCAGCCTCATTGATGCAAATTAAATATACATGTTCTCTAATTGACCTTAAGATACATCAGTAGGCAAGAGCATAGACGCTAGAACTCTGTAGCAACATCTCGACATTCTTCCAACTAGAATTTACTATATCTCACTCATATAGTGTTTGTTAAGTGGCTTAAACAAACATTTATGAAAAAATTCATCAGAAAAAAAAAATAAAAAAAAGAAAGTTAAAAAAGTCACACCTGGAATGGAGCGGAAAGAACAACAATCACTATTATGTGCACAGGAAGAAGTGTTGAAGTGCAAGCAACAACCTACAGATTTTTGCCTCTCAGATGTTCCATTGGCTGCAAAACAAAACAATAAGTAACAGACACAACCAAATTATAGAACATGTTAAGCAACACAACGATAAGGTAAGTACCTTTTAAACCAGCAGAGCCATTCGATTGAGGTTTCAAATCAAGCGACTGCTTAAGCTTGTACCCAAAGCGAATAGACAATGTGCTCAACAAGGCCCCCCCTGCAATGAGGATCCAGTTTGGCCCTTGGCCACAAAATTTCTCAGCTCGCTGATGCTTGGTAATGCTATTTCTTCGTGGACTCATTGTAAGAGAAAGTCAAAATGTCTCTACCATCCAAACATAACCTACGTTGAACGGAAGTAAGAATATTTTATCACCATCAATGATCAGAATCAATTAGGCATAATTATTCAGAAAGAAAAAGACAAGAATTCCGATCTACAATCAACACAAACAACCGGTAAACACTTGTAAAGGCACCGAAAGCTTAATACCCACCAAAAATTCCAGAATCTACAATAAAATTTAGAAGACAAGATAGTGAGCCTAAAGAGAGAAAAAAAAAAAAAATTTCTCAAATCATAGTAACACTGAAAAGAGAAAAAAAAAAAAAAAAAGGTTGAAGTCAATCGGTATCGATTCCAGCTCGTGGCAATACATCACCAATAAGAAAATTCTGCTTCCGAAATAAATCAGGATCATACTAAGATCCATAGAAACAACTGATAGAACTCTACCTCTAGGATCAATCGAGGTCTATGAAGCGTAATCAAAACGTTGACGCCACGGAGGATTTGATAAGACATAAGGAGTAAGTCTCCTCTAGCCCGAAACGGCTAATAGGCAAAGAGATACTTGACTTGAACATGAAGCAAATCGAAAAAAATAAAAGCTACCCACTAAATCTCTTTGATAAAGGCCATTAACTGCTACCCTCAAACACTAACACAACACCCAAACATCGCAATCATAAGGAAAGAAAGGAAGGCGGTGACAATACCATATAATAAATCCGAAGAACAACTCAAAATAGATTTTCCGCGAAAAAATTGAGTGAGTGAGTGAGTTAGTGGGTGGAGAGCAAAATTAAGGATAATCGCAAGACAAACCTCATAAGGGAAATGGGGAATTAGGGCCCCATGATTTCACTTTATAGGATGAAAAAAATTATGCAGCTTGACTTTCAATCGAGGCCGTTGTCCTTGCAGTTTCCCAGAATCTCAGAGAAATCGTATAGATATAAGAAATCCGTGAAGAATCGATGATATATGGTAAAACTCTTGACTGTAAAACCCAGAAAAGAGAGAGAGGTTGAAGAAACGGCGCCTCCCACTCCTTCGCTCCTTCCTTTCCTTAGACACTGTTAAAATAATTTTATTGTATATTAAAAAAAAAGCTAAAATCTCCGCACGCGTACACCACGTCCCATGGATGACGCTCACGGTGGTTGAGAAATTCAGCTCAATCCTTTTTTCTTCTTCTTGTGTTAACAGCTTTGATTCCAATTTTTCGACATCTTAATTCATCTATCTGTGTTATTTGCTATTCTCTTGATTATTATTAGTTTTTATATTAGTTTATATAATCCTTGTTGTGGAATACAACTAATAACTGCCAGCTCGAAGCTCCATCTATTATATACACCGGTAAGTGCCAAGCCAGCAATCTATAGCTACGAACTTCAACTGAAAGTCCACATTTTGACCTGTCACCTGTACTTATGAGCATTGAAGAATGAAGAAGACACGAAAGTGTAGAGTTTGCAGATCTTCAATATTCACTTCCCCAAAAATCAAAGCAAAGGGATAAACCAGAATTAACACACAAAATAAAAGGATCAAGACATTCAAAGCCGAAACTAATAAACCATTAAAAAAAAAGTTATCAAGAAGAGAAGTTTCCTTCTCCCAGAGAGAGAGACACAAAGAGTCCAAAATTTTTGTTCTTTGGATTTGTTTCTCGAGATAAAGAAAAGAGAGAGAGACTAGTAAGAATGCACAATGCCTAACCTTTCCACACCTACAAAATGTTTGGGAGCTGTAAATCCAATCTCTGCTGCAACTCTTTCATCTTCTCTGAAAGCTCAATCTTCTGCTCTTTATAGCTCCTAAGTAGATACTCTTTCCCATCTATCACCTCTTTAAGCTCTCCCACTTCCTTTCTCAACATCTCTATCCTTTCTCCATCCCTTGATCCTTTTACCGGTGACTCATAGTTGCTTTCGCTCTCCATAAACCCGTTCGCATCCCCACTCCAACCGTTGCTACCAGCGTGTCCCACGCAGTGATCAGCGATCGCCTTTCTCAGCCTCTGCACTTCTCTTTCTGATTCAAACAGATCCCTGTTTGTTGCGTCCAGCTGTGTTTGGAGATGGCTACAGTGTGCCATCTGCGCGCTATGCGAGCTTTGCAGCTCTGAGATCTGTTCCTGCATTTCAAGTACCATGTCGTCGCGTCTCTTCAGCTGCTGCCTCAGCTTCTGTATAACTTCCCGCTTGCTGAACATGTCTGACCCTGATTCAGATACACAGGGAGAATCTGAGCAGGTAGACTGGTGTTGGTATGGTCTCGTGTGCACTTCCAGGTGATCAGGAGAAGATGCCCACATGGTTCCATTCTCTTTGCTAAATGATGGAGTAGTAACCTTCACAAGAGGCAGCGGATTACTGGGAACCACCATTTGCTCGTTTGCAGCATGGTTTCCCTCCACATTCTCAGTTCCTGTATATATATATATATATAAAAAAAAAAGAGGCCAACTCTGAGAAAACCTACACAAAAAGTTTCTGGAGAAGGAAAAGAAACTTTAAGAACAAGCAGAATTCAGTTCACAGATATTAACACTCCGCCATAAGACAAAAATATCAGCGGGGAAATTCTTCTTCCATAGTTGCTAGCTCAATGATACAAGTAGCTACTTAAATATGATACACTGATTGAGCTGCAAAGACATCATTATGCAAGAAACTAGTGGCTACAAGAAGCACCTCCATATTCGTTCAACTAGTTTACAACAACTCATAAAATCTCTCTCTCTCTCTCTCTCTCTCTCTCTCTCTCTCTTTCTAATTCAAAGATACCACGAAAGCAAACAGTATAAGTCAAGATATGCACAAGAAAATTCAGATGTAAGAATAACAAACTCACAAACTCTCACCGGGAGTGCAGTGGAAGCAACAATCATGATTCCTTTCACAGGAAGATGCGTTAGAATGCAAGCAGCATCCTCGAGATCTGCCTCTGTCAGATGTTCCATTGGCTGCACACAACAACCATCCAAATAAGATAAGAAATAAAAGCTAACCCTGGGACATGTAAGGAGAAAACCTGATTAAGTACATTTTAAGCCACTAGTGCCATTCGAATGAGGTTTCGAGTCAATCAACTGCTTTAACTTGTACCCAAAGCGTATGGATAATGTGCTCAACAAGGCACCCCCAGCAATTAGGATCCAGTTTGGCCCTTCACCACGGAAATTCTCGACCCGCTGATGCCTGGAAATGCCATTTCTTCGTGTACTCATTGTAAGAGAAAGTCAAGTGTCTTTATCATCCAAAGCTCAACCTAACACACAGGATGTAAAAAGATACAATTATATCATCAAAACAAACCACCAGGTTCTAGTTTCGAATTTTGTAAATGTTAAACACTAGCAAATTTCCACAATCTATTGTAAAATACTCAAGAGGAAGCCACTGGTAGAGCTATTTAGCTTATAAATCGAAATGCAATCAGGAAATGAGGCGATTAAATTTCAATAGCAATCAACTGGAGACACACAAAAGGCTTAACAAATATCCAACAGAAGTTCCAAACACCAAAAGTGAAGAAAGACCGACGACCAATAGTCGATCGGAGTGGGTAAAAACTGCAGGTCCGGTTCCGAAGTTAGGGTTTCTACGTCACAGGGAACAACCAGATCCAAGACTAATCAAGGTAGAGTTTGTACAATATAGAACGGGAATATATAATGATTAGATCAATGGTGTTTGAGGAAAAACGAAGAAGCTTACCTGCGATTTTAAGAGAGAGAAGGCAGCGCAGAGTGAGGAACAGCAACTTAACGCCGTTGAAGCCTTTTTTCTCACCCGCCGGGAACCGGCAAAAAAAAAATGGTGTGTACCATCGTTTATTACTTTTTCTCTATAGTGTAAAATCGAAAATGATCCTTTTTTTTGTTTTGTTTTGTTAAACTTGAAAAAGAAAGTCGTTCAGTGATATACTAATAGTGACAAGTGACAACTGTGTAATGCATACCAAAAAAAAAAAAAGTGACAACTGTGTAATTTTATTATTTTTTGTTGAACTTACAACTGTGTAATTTTTCAGTTGTTATGATTGCAAAAAAAAAAAAAAAAAAATTACAGAAGAAATGAAACAAAAAACTAGCAATATCCATGTGAGATTATTCTTCTTTGTAAGTAGCAGTAATATATGTAGGACCAAAATTACGAAAAAATAAGACTGCAGTGCTCAAACTGATAATTCTTTGTAAATCACGAATGTTAGCGTATTGTAGTATCTTTCGGAGTTTTTCAATGGAATTATTTTATTTCTAAATCCAAATCTGGATCAAAAATACCGTTTTGTTATTTGATCATGAATGCATATGGATACAATCAGAAGCAGATATTGAACCAAACGCCGACACCAACTTCTTTGGAGTACATCTCACACAAAAAGAAAAGTCCTTTCAGTCAATGCCTCCTGAAATCATTGTGGCCACTTCTCTTTTTCTTTTCCCTTTTTTTTACCCCAAAAAGTAGGAAGATAACGTTTGCGCTTATAAAATAAGTAAAAAAATCAAAAAGCAATGTCCAATTCTAAAGATGTAAGAAATCTCTTTATATATAAATCTCATTCTTGTTACAACTAATCAACGAATCATACACACGAGGAAGGAAAACAGCTCAATACTAATCCTTTCAAAGCAAGAAAATGTACATAAGTCATCAATGCTTGGCCACGATAAGTAAGTAGTAATTTGATTCCAAGTTTTTTCTATGTAGATCAAAATTCAATCAAACTCTCCATGCAAAAGGGGCACTTACAGATGCTTGCTTGCTTGTTTGTTTATTCAATGGGATGCTTCTCAATTTGACGAGATGTGTAGTGCGCAGAAAGCAAAAGCAGAGAAAGAAAAGCGCTGGCCACGAAGATTGCATCAAACCATCGGTGATAGAAATCAAACTGAATATCTCCGCCTAGCACATCTGTTATTATCCCTCTGCGCCAACAAAACAGCTTTCAGTAATAATAATCCACACTTCCATCTTTTGAACACATGAGAGATGTATATATAACGAGGCAAGCAGCAATTAATTTAATTATCTTTACTTTACTTAAAAGATCAGAGAAGTCGGCGTACCTGTACTCATTTCTCAAGCTTTTTCTTATAAGTAGAATGGAAGACAAAAAGTACATCCCCATTATTTCGGATAGGAAAAGCACAACATTGCTTGAAGATCCACTTCCTACTCTCGAGACTGCAAAGAAGAACTGTACAACCGAAACCAAAAAATAAAAAAAACTCACAAGTCATTCCCACAAAACTTATACAATAGCAAAAGCTTCCAGTTGTATGTGAGTCTATGACAACGAAGATTGTATAAAGACGAATAATAGATATTTGTAAGCTAAATCACAACTCACCTTCATCAGATTCGTCAAGAACCCCCTCACTGATATCACGATCAACATCCCAATAAATAAAAGGGAAATGTACTGAAAGTAGAAAACAAAGTGACAGAATCAGACCCAAGTTGCACTATCATGGGCAACAAATAGACTGAGAGGGAAATTTGAGAACGATATAAGAAATTTTCCAAAACAAAAAAGAGTTGTCTATAACAACGTCTAAGAAAACTTTTGAACCCCCAAAACCCAGTGATAAAATTCTCTATCCCATCAAAGGCCCTACGAAAGAACAGTTTTATTGAGAAAAAATATATCATTTAGCTCTTCATCTGGAAACACGTTGCAAGAAGAAAAAACACTAACAAGTCTAGTTAAAATTCAATGGCTTTACTACTTCATACATAAAAATAAAATAAAATAAAAATGTCAAGAACCTGTGAGAGCAATGCCGCGTCTACTCCTATATCAAAGAACTGCAAGAATATGCTGATCATCATCGTGACAGGATCTTTAGTGCCCGCCTGTACACAAGCGATTACTATTCAATGTCGTAAATAAGTAAACAAACGATGATAATGATGCAGATATTCATCATAAAGTGTATCAGACAACATGAGCGTGAAAATACCTCCTTGAAAACGACACTTTGTAGAGACTGCAGATAAAGCAAAGGAAAAAAACAGAGAAATTAGAAATGCTGGATCACAGTTACAACTGACAAAACATCTAACAAGATATATCGAAGACCATTTCATCTAAAAAATCAAAAACCAATAATTCTGTTGTAACACACATGAAAAAGAGTTTAACATAGTTATAGCAAAGAGTTAAAAATACTGAAGGCTGGCACCTCACATAAAGACAAACAAAATTTACCTTTAACATCTTATACACACAGTAAATGGAACACGCATAGCCAAGTAAGTTCTGCACATGACCCTTCCAAGTTCGAGAAAAAGCAGCAGCATCCTGCAAATGAGATGAAGTTAGGTAAATGCTTATACAATGTTTATATTACAACTTTACAAGACCACCACGTAAAAATAACCTCAGTAATAGATAATTTAGAAAGATGGCCATGTCATTGCCATGCCAATAAGAAGAATATGGTAGTTGACTCAAAACTAATGGCACAGTGATGAAAGGAACCTTTGCATGGCGTAGTTCATAAATTTCCAGGAATAGCTGCTTTGACAGCTCTTCTAAACCTTCCACCTCCGCCTCCATCAGTTTTATATCTGCAAAAAGAAAAACATAAATGAATTTGGGGAGATGTCACCAGATACTATTAATATGCTGTACTAATATCTCATCTTATTATGTAACACATAAAAAAAAATCGAAGGAAGTACAACTCAACAGGGGGCAAACTGTAACAACTCAACAACGTTATCATCCCAACAGGAGTCGAAAATAATGTATATGTTAAATCATTCTGGAAGAAGATATGCTTTGTAGGCACAACTGCATCTAAAACTAAAACATATAAACTGACCTTGCTCCTTTTGGTCATCTTGAACCGACCGCACAACGGTCCCAACAAATCTTCTAAAGAAAGATCTACCTTTTTGATTCTGGAAGCCAAAAGCACCAGATGATTACTTCCTAAGCTCATTATAAAAATAGCATAAAGATAAAAGCATACTAATTGTCACCATGCATGTTACGAAATATCCCTTTCATTCAATCGTTAACAAAACTAATTTGGGAAAGTCAACTCTATGGTATTTTGACTGATGGATAGAAACAGAAGTGTTATGATACAAAAATCATTTCAGAGTCGGAAGAGCATTTTGACATAAGAGTACAAAAATACATAGATCGGTGAAGAATTCAAATCCAGTACAGTGTGTGAAACGTACGAAACACTGAAGTTACAACTACGCATGGAGTATGCTAAAAGTGAAGACGGAAACATACCTCTTCTGATACTTGACTTCGTTCCACCTCCACTTGACATAAAATAATTTTCTTCTTCTTAGCTATGCAACTCTCAATTGCTTGCATCAGTTGCCTTTCCAGCGATTTTATTTCTGATTCTTCAATCTCCCTAAATGTTTCCAGAGAGAAAGAGAAACAGGAAAAGGAGCTGTTAGATTATAAAAAAAATTCCAATAGTGTTCTTCTATCAGTGTAGAACCATTTACATCACAGAAAAATAGAAGATGTCTTCATTCAGAGTTCAGCAACTTCGAATCAAAATTCGACAGGACCATTTGCCTCATCAAAGATTAGATTTAAGTTTCCATGGTGTGCAGTTTCGTAACATATTTTGTCCACATCTCTTTTTCTTCCCTAATTTACTCTTTGCTCTCGGAAGGAAAATAAGGGCCAATTGTCGCGTGCAGTGCTAATTATGTTTATCTAATTGTTCATCCCAGCTACTGGTACCACCAGAGGGAAATAATGATAGCCGAGACAAAACTAAACAGCCAAAGCAATAAGAATAAAGCACAAGCTAGAAGAAGGTAATAATAAGAGTTATAAAGCTATAACAGCCTTGGGAGAAAACTTAAATAATGTAGGGAAATACCTGATGAAAAGCGATATATAACTGTAGGGCAAATTTACAGCTCCAAAACCAGATAAGACGGCCATGAGGGTCACACCAATGACCCCGATTCTGCTGACCAGTTGAGGCATGGAGAAAAAACCTTTCAAGATTAAAGGGTGTTTAAGTCAAGTAACAAGCAGTGACAAGATCTTACGCATCCAAAAATAAAAAGAATCGGGAGCATTTGTACAAATAAAAGTAACTGTCGAGCAGAAATAGAGACAAGCATAAAGAAGGCAGAATGATTGATTCTTCGAATTTCTTCTGAAGTTATTCCTACAGTCAGGCAATCATAGCCAGTGTAAACATACAAACATTCTCCTTTCAAGTTACATCATCGTAACCCTCCACACGTTCAGAAGTACACAGTGTTCATAAAAAATGCAAATAATATCTTACTGAAAGTTTAAATCAACTTACTTCTTGCTTATAAAATGGTGAAGGGAGAGAGAGAGAGAGGGTGCATAAACTCAAAGAGTTACCTTTGTCTTGCGAAGGCATAGGAAAATGAATTCCCATGCGCCAGAAAGCATAAAGGAATGCTGTCAAGAATAACAAGGCCCCAACAGCAGCACGTTCCCTTCTTACACCTGAAATAATGTTTCAAGTTTAAAAAAGGTCAAAAAAAAAACAGCCAGGAAAATATTTCTGTAACATGTGTTGCTACGATATTTAATAAAAAAGGAGTAAGGATCAATTGATGTAGCCGAAGAATGTCCATCATATGCTAATAAACTGGCACTTGATATCAAAATAGAAAAAGGAAGAATCATCAATAGCAGACAAAGATAGGGCTTGGCAAAAGGAGAAGGCTTACCAGTATTGCGAAGCATCAAATAGCAATGATAATACGGTAACATGAAAACAAGGAGCACAATCAAACAAAAGAGATCCACCTTCCAGTTAACCATCCTTGCCCTGCATAATCTCAATACAAAGTTCCAAATGCTT